CCTTCATCTTACAGCCAGCCATATTAAGTTACCTGCCGTGCCTGGAACTTTCCATGCTCGCTCTCAGTGTGGAATGCCGTTCTTCTCCCTCTCACTCCTCTGCTCCTTTCTGCCTAGCAAACATCTGCTCATATTTCAGGGCTCAGCCCAACCTTCTCATTCTTTGCCAGGTTATATCTATTGGGCTCCTACTCTCACCCCAGAAGAACTGACTACTTTCTTGTTTGGGCTCCATCTCCACATAATCCTGTCAACATCAGTTTCTCTCCTGGACGGTAAGCTCCTTGAAGACAGTTTATCTGTCACGTGCATCCCTATACCTCAGTGTCCAGCTCATTAATAGAAAAATATCTAGTGAATGAAGAATGGACCAATGAAAAATGAAGGCCAAGCTGGGAGCAAAGGCTCAGTGAACATTATGATAGTGGAACAAATGTTGATCACACTGCATACGGAATCACCACAAGGGCTTGTCTGCCGATAGTGCTGCTGTTTGTAAACCCACTAAGCCTCAATGTGCACTGTAAACAAGTCAGGTGGGTATTCCCGAGAATGTAAGCTGACTTTCAGGGACAGAAGATGGGGGTGGTGGCTCATATTGGCTGGCTTCCCTAGCAATTTGTGTAAACAAAACCCAGCAAAACAATTCCCCCTCTCCCAAAAGTTGGCACTGTCTCAAGTGTTTCTTCTCCAAAATACTTTGTTTGGCCAGGCAACACTCCCCGTGCAATAGCTGTTGGGCATTAGTGTGCGCTGCATCCTTTAGAGGTCAGTCCTGAATACCAAACAGATGCAGAGCCCGAGTCCCCAGAACTGGAGTCTAACAATTGAAATGCATAACAATATCCATCTTCTCTGTTCACACTGCTCTAAGTTTCACCATAAGCAGGCACATTTTAGAGACTGGCCTTGAGTTATTCTAATTTCCATACCTGAAGAGAGGAACAAATAATTTGAGGCAGAAAAGTAATGCAGGAGAGGGTTTTAGCTTTCCATGCTCACTCATACTCTTTGTTTCCTGATAAAAACAGCACTTCAAATCAAGTCAACATCACAGAGACAACAGGGGTATAAAATAGTGAGGATTTTTTTAATAGAAAAATTTTGTACTAAGTAGAGCAAAACCAAACCAAAACAACAAAAGAACCCCCTCTTATTCCAGATTACCTATTAATTTCAGATGGAAAAGCCCTAGGCAGTAAGAGAAAATAAAATTGACCCACGCGTTAAGTAGATTGGCTAATTTAGGGCGAGTGGAAACAGCCAAATAATATTAAGTTGTCATGGTAGAAAGTAGTGCTTTCGTATTACTACCCAAACTTGTAAAAACACTCAGAGAAGCAGAAAGAAGGACTAAATTTAGAGCCTGGTTTAATGCATTCAAGAGCATGACTCATTTCCCCCCTGTCCTGGTACGGCCTAGGGAATCTGTGTGTACGACAGGCAACACAAGGATGCCTTGTAAATAAAGAGTCTTTTCATTCATTCAGAGGTGGGAGGAATCTGCCAACAAAGGTGAACTTCCAGGTACCTCACACACCCAAACAGAACCAGATTTCTCAGCTGGCGAGAGGCCCACTAGCTTTGCCCTGGCCTTGGCATGAATATGCTGGAAATTGATTTTGCTGCGCCTCTTCTCTAAGTGGCTTTTACCTCACTTGGGCTCCAGTGGGATCCTGACCAGCTCTCAGAAGCCATGCAACATGGGTCACCTTAATGAGATGCCCAAAAGAATGTCATCATTTGGTAGCGAAGCATTTAGCAACCGGCAGCCTAAGTCACCTCATGGTGGCCCCTAGGCTGGGTCTTAGGGAGTTAGCCTTTTACATAACAAACACCTGGGGTGATTTTGAGCTATTCGGAAAAAACAAAGTGAAAACAAACAGACTAACAACAGCAAGTTCTGTTCCCATCAGTTCATCAGGGTGTTGGTCAAAGTGTCCAGACAGAGCCGCCCATTGCTGTCCCTTCCCCAGTTTCACCATCTGCTGCTTCCAACCACGTATTTGCACTCACTTCTGCTCCCACCACCAAAGCAAATATTTTAGCCTCTACAGATTATGGAGACTAAAGCCAGACTATCATTTGTGTTAGCTCAACCTGGTTTAGAGGTAAAAGCACCCATGTTATTTTCTGAGTTTACAGTGACTCCATTCTTTATTATTTTTCTTTTAGTCTGTAAATACATCTGGAAAGTAACCTTATAAGTCTTATTCTAGCTTTTTTGGCTTTACTAGATAGTCTCTGGGTTTAGGGAAAACTACAAAAAGGTAATGTACATAGAAAATCTGTTGTTCAGTATCATTGCTCCCAGAAGTGAGGGCATCAAAGCTGTTCTCCCTTCTGAGGTGTAAGACGGAGGTTAGCGACCCAATCCTAGGGCCCCATTATATAGCCATATATATTCATCCCAATGAAGAAAGATTATTTCCCCAAACATGAAATGGGTTCAGCAAGTTTGCAGTTAAAAGCAAAAAGTTAGATATAGAGCGCGTGCATTATGTTAGAAATGAGTCGCTCTGAGGTGTGTGTGAATGAGCAGCACTTGGAGAGGCCCACACAGGGCACAAGGCAGCATGGAATTGGTAGGCCCTGGGCAGGGCTGTGGGTCAGGTGGATATGAGATCCGATCAGCCTGAACACATGCTTCACAAACCAACCTAGACACGGCACAGAAAAGAGGCAGGACACTACAGGCCAGCATACATGATGTGTACCTTTCTCAAATAGCTTGGTACTTGGGTCTCCCAGGCAGTTCTGAATGACCGGGTGGGGTAGTCACCCAATCCCCCTTGGGCCCACCCAGTGCCATAGCATGAAAATCAAATAATTTAGAGGACAGGGATAGCCAATGACCTTGGCCAAATGTGATGACAGATTTGGCGGAATCTTTCTATACCCATTTGAGAAAGGACAAATACTCTTTAGCACTCTAGATAGAAAACTGGCTGATTTAGCTTAGAACAGTGGCTTCGAACAGTTCCTTCAGAACATCAAGAAGGAAGTGGCTAGGGGAAGCGTGTCATGAAGGTTGCATCCAAGGCTGGGTCGGTTACATAGTGGGATCTGGGGTAGAAATTTATCCTCACACACATAGAGCACCACAGATCTAATTAACAATGTGGGAAATCTATTTTCATACTTCACTCAGACGGAACACCTCTCTTCTGTATCCGGGGTGGTTTTCAAGTTCTAAACTACAATCAGCCCTTCTTTTAAAATAACAAGAATAAATCCTCTTATTCAGCCAGATGGAGGTGTCTGTTGCACTAGGCTGGGTTCATAGTACAACATCAATAAATGGCCACTTGTAGAGGGACAGACAGAATCCCATTCATAAAACACACCTGTACCTCCCTTTCTCTCCCATCCCCAAATGTTACCTTGTCAAAATACCCGGGGGGCTGAGTCTCATTTTAGGGAACAAAGGAAAATGAGAAAAGGCAAAATAATGTAAGTGGAAAAGCAATTTCTTGCGGGGGAAATAGTACATTTGGTCTCTGAGGAGAAGGATCATTGGTGGGCTTTTGAAGTATTGTTTTGCCTCGAGGGACCATTTGAAAGGAAGATTCCAAAAGAGTTTTCTCTGGAAAGCTGTCTTGGTGAAGGCTGCACATTGTCAACCAAAGATATTTCAGCTAGGAGACCGAGTCAAAATTCTTCCTCAGTGAGTTGGCTGAGTCTTATGAAATGAGTATTTGTTCCAATTAGCCTTCTTGCCTCAGAAAACTCATTCTGAGAGGGAAAGGGTATTCGTTCAAAATCCACCAAGGAAGGGAAAATGACGTGGAGGTATGTTCTGTCTCCTGTGGACACATGCTCTTCCCCGGCCTGCAGGATTCACACTCTTTGGTGCTTTGTCCTTATTTTCCTGGTCTCAGTCCTACTTGGGACTGGCGGGGGTGGAAGAGGGATGCTGACTGGAGTCTGCTCTTGCTCTTAATAAGCTCTACTACCTGGTTATGTAACCCTAATCCATGTCCACAGTCCAGGGCTCAAATGGCTGGCCTGTCAGCAAAAAAATGTCTGAAAAATGTTAATTCAACAGTGTTGGAGGGATGTTATTTCTAGAGCTAAAGTCCTCAGGGGAAATGAGAAATAGTTGCTCCTGGGGTTCGACTCCTCCACACGGAAAGATTTTTCTTTCCTGATGCTTTCCTCTCAAACAACTTCCCAATGCCTGGTGCGCCCTGACATTTGGTCCAAAAAAAATTCTGGAACAGACTCCTAGGATACAACTATCTTCACACTCTATACAAGGAGAGTGTTTATTATTGAGAATCAGCACCTATTAGGGCTTGAAACATCAGGGGCCTGGCTGCTGCTGCTGCTCGCTCCCCACACTAAATCACTTCATGATATAGATACTATTTTATGTTTAGCCTTTAGAGCAAGCAACTCAATTTATAACCTAAGGCATTTTCCATACTTCCAGGCAATGAATACTAGCTTCTGTTGAGTCTCAAAAGTACATAATTTAAGACAGTGGGGAAAGGAGCTGGAGAATAGTTTCCAGTGCAAGGAAAACACCATGCAGATGTTGGCCCTCACTCTTGAATTCTGATGGTGAAATTGAGAATTGTTTATTTGTTCTAAAGTCAAACCCAAGGAATTTATTTTTTACAGGCTGGGGTAGGGGTGGGGAGTAGTGATGTAATTATATTACTAATACTGAAATAGTCAACACATGGCCCTAGGATTTTAAATTCCCAAAGAATTTCAATCTTGTTAAATGGTTTATTTCTTGATCAAATTTGGCATAGCAGATGTTGATTCGTGTCACAGAAAGGACATACCTGAAGAAACACCCGAGGATTACTTTACTAAAATTGTATATTCAGCTTCTGTAATTGTTTTTTTTCCCTCCAAGGTAGCAAGCTAGGAATTGGTCCTCTATCTTGAGCCATTTATTGAGAACAAACAAATGAACTTGGAAAAGACATGACCCGATTGAAGTTAAATACCTGACTTTGGTGTATGAGAATCATAAACTTGCTTACGGTCTATCTGGTCCGCAAACACCTCCCCATAAATCATCCAATAGGGCATGTAGAAGATGTTCTTGGCCAACTTCCATGATGGCTCCTCATTGGGAAAGAGAATGGCTTGCCTGGCAACCCCAAAACTCATCAGCACCACCAGCATAATGATGACAAAGTACATCATGTCTATCATCTGGAAGGGTGGGGAAGCAGAGGGAGAAACAAAAGAAAACTCATATGATTGAATGTTCCAATGACACTGACCTTGATGGGAACCTTTGAAGGAGGTTCACTTTCGATAATGCTGATAAGGGATGTTTAGATAGGGAGCTGTGCCCAGGTAAAAGGACACTTGGTTTATTGAAACCAATGTCCATGGAATGTTATAAATAACTCAAAAGATCATTAAAAACAAACAAATCCTCAAATATATGCCCAATGGAACCCCTTCATTTTCCATTGTTGTCTATGGGACCTAGTCAAAACCAGACTTAGGAGTCAAGTAGCATAGAAACTTGGGTATCTATATGAATTTAGTACTAACTTTTTCTCTGCTCTCATGGGAGGCAAATGTCCTTCTTGGTTTCTTCCTTATTAGCAAAATTGGAATTGGGACAGCTGAACTATTTGAAGAATTATTGTAATGTTGTAAATTCTCTAAGTTCTGAAAAGCTAATGAAGAGGTGGAAGCTCATGAAAATAATCATTTGTAAACAAAGCTAGGCCAACAAATATCCATCATATTCCATCTTCTCCTTGTAGCCCCACCTCACTGCGTGGTATTCTACAATAAACCTGTCTTACAGAAGAACCACTCTTCCTGTACTTCTCTTGCAGGATATGCTATCAGTTAGGAAGAGTGTTTTCATAGGCATTAGAATCAGGTAGCCCATTCCTGTGCCTGCTGTTGAAAGGTTGGATTTTCATCTTGACATGTTCATAAAATCCTCTTTTGACTGCTTTCAAGTACAATGTTATCGCTTGTTTCTCTTTCTTCTTTTGTTTGTTTTTATGACACATGCAATTTGGGATCTGTTTCTTATATGCCAAATGACTTTCCTATTATCACCAAACATAGATGAGAATGTAATAACTATTATTTTACCTGGTCAGAACCCACTGCCTTCTTCTTTTAGAAACAGTTCCCACCCATTTGGGCCAGGCTTGGTTAAACATGGTACCACACCCTCTGGCAACAGCAGTCATAGGAGGGAAGCATGTGACACAAGAATCCAACCAGAATCCTTTCTTTGGATATTTTTCAGCTGAAGCTGGGAAAGAGGCACTGCCTTTATCTCTCTGTAATGATGTTAATCCAGAGTGTCTGAGTTAAGTGCCCCACTACTGATCAAAGTGAATGAAGCAGATACTTGAGAGAGAGAGAGCGAGAGCGAGAGCGAGAGCGAGAGAGAGAGAGAGAGAGAGAGACTGACTGACTCAGTCCTAACCCTGGTTGAGAGCCTGACTGCAGTAGCCCTTAAGGCCAGTTCCATCACATCATGGCAAGCTATAAATCTATCTATCCCTCCTGGGCGTACGCCAGTTGGAGATAAGTTTCTATCCTTGCATCAAACCATCTAATACAAAAGACTATTTTTTCTTGGATATCAAACTTCCTCAAAGGATGCCCACCCATGAAGATAATTGATGGTAACCTTATCAAGGATAATAAAGGCTTTAAATTAGTTTAAAATTTTTATTTTAAAAAAGTGCATTCCATGGTGCCTGTTATTGGAATTACAACATTACAGCCTTCCTGTTTGCATTAGGACACTGGGGGCTCAATATATTTTATGGGGGCTCAATATGTTTTATGTCAATTTATCAACTTTCAAGGCAACTTCAAAAGCCATCTCTCAAGTATTATGTGACTTTGAAACTAAATAAGAGAGTCTCTCAAAAGGTGACATTAATTCTTATTTGTTCACTGTCCTTAAAATATATATGCTAGTCAATTAGTTATTCCTTTCACAACTTAGAGGCCTCAGAACTCTCTTAAAATGAGCAAGCCAGCTGTGTTGAAACAGTTTTATAGGAAACAAGGGTCTGCTTCTCATCTTTGCTCTTTTTTTATTTTGTAAAATTCTTTCATTATTTATTTACAAGAAGTTCTACCAATGAAGAAACACTAATGGGTTTTTCATGTTATATTTATTTAGATTGACTAAGAGGGGTGGGAAGAGGAAGGTGTGTACTCATGAGATTTAGGAGCTAGTCTGATCCAAGAAAACTCAGCCAGCAAATATAGCAACTGTTCTAACTTCTCAGGACTGTTTTCATTCAGATTGATTGTGATATTTACCCAAAGGATCAAAATAACCAGAGAGCAGAGACATTCTTCCCAAACACTCAATTGCATATATTTCAAAGAAGTCTTAGCTTCCATTCAAATACCAAAATCTAACAGAGCGGAGTGCAGAAATAGAACATTATGGGTGAGAACGGGGGCTGGCTACTTATGTTTTAAAGCTAATTTGTCCAGTTGGTTCAGTATTAAGAGACCTGATTCTTATAAATATTCTTTGATTGTGTTTTATAGAGAAGAGTATATACTCCAGTGGCTAAGCACGGGTTCTCAGGTGTCAGACTACCTGAGTTTTTTCATCTTGGCTTTGCTAGTAAAAACAGCGAGGTGGTCTTACTTAATCTTGTGTGTGTTCTTTTTGTTTTGTTTTCATTTTCAAGATGGTGATAACAACAATAATAATGCATATTGTTTTTGTAAGGATTACATGAGATAATATGTGAAATGCTTCATGTGGGTAGTTTTCAGTAAATGTTAATGTATTATTATTATTAGAATTGGAAGAAGGTCAGTCTGTGGAGTCAGGTAGACAGAAGTTGGAATCCTGCTTTTGTCCCTTGCCCAATTTCAATTTATTCCACTATTTAATTCATGGTGATGAAATAGGTTATAATGATGATGACCTATCTGACATGGAGTTTGGCACATAGTAAATGAAAGCTATTATTGCTGTTGTTTTTATTCTTATATTTCATTATATAAGTAAGCTTAGCACTAGGCTTGGAGAATCCCACTGAGAAGTGGGATCCTGGATCTAAAGATCAGTGGGAATCATACTTGATCAGTATTGTATTCAGGTACCTTAACAGCTGTGTCTCTCCCTAGACCACAGGGCACAGTTACTTGGCAGCTCAGCACTGAATAGAAACTCTCTAATGCTGAGGGACTTTCAGTATAATCACATCTGGGCATATTTTGTTAACCTCCCTGCCTGGCAGTCCATCTGGCTCCCTGATAAATTCTATAGGCACATTTTACCTACCTTCTGGATCAGTGACTCAATTATTAAACCAATTATCCTAAAAACCCCGTAGAGAACAAAGCCCCCAAATATACTCATTTTCTACTTATTCTTGACTGATAAATGAAATCATTCATAAGTTAGAAGGTAGAGAAAATGCACTACGTTTTTCTTGCTTATTCCATAGTAAGGTTTAATTCTAATAAAAAAGGGATAATTATGCCATCATTAAAATGATAGACGTGGATTTTAAAATAATCTTGCCGCTTTAGTTTGACTTTAGTTATTTCAAATATTTAAATGCCACTCAACCTTTTTAAAGTAATGTATTTGGTTGGTTTGGGTCTTTTCAGATTTTACTTATTGAAATAAAATAAGGTAACAATTAATTAGAATAAAGCAACCAATCAGATTATGTAATCACCCAATGTAGTGTTTCTCAACAGGGGGTATTTTGCCCCCCTACCCCACCCCCCCACCCTCAGAACATATGGCAATATCTAGAGACATTTTTAGTGTGTGTGTGTGTGTGTGTATGTGTGTGTGTGTATGTGTGTACATACTACTGGCATCAGTGGGTAGAAGATGCTGCTAAACATCCTATAATGCACAGGACAGCCTCCCAGAACAATGAATAGTCCAAAATATCAATAGTGTCAAGATTGAGAAAATTTGGCCTAATTTTATAGCTGTTACAGTCCTTCACTTTCATTGGGCCCATTTAAGAAACCATTTGACAATCTTATTGGAAGCTTCTCTCTGCTCAGAAAATTCATACACTCACATATTTTTATATATAACTTGGGTAAAGGGTCCACTGATCCTCCCTTCTAAATGTCTCCCGTAGACTCTAAGTTGAGACTCTGCTTTTAGACGTAGGAATTTTCACCACAATCTCAAATTCACTACTGAAGTAGAAAGAAGATTATATAACAGGCAGGGTAATAGAGTAAGATGCTTTTCTTTTTTCTATCCAAAATACCCAAATGAACTGGGATACAGTTTTGGGATTAGTCTTAAATTCAAGCTTGTTCAATTTAAGGTTTTCCTCTCTAGAATGGGTTTGGAATATTTTCCCTAAACAATGCTGTTGTTATACACACCAAGCTTTTGTACAAAAGTGTCAGGAATAGAGCAGAATAACTATACTCACCAATTTCTCCCCATTTCATTGTATTTTAACAGATATAATATGAACATAATAACAGATACAATTTATCAACTACCTACTATGAGCCACCTACTGTTGGCTATTTAACATGTGTAATTTCTAATCATCACAACAACCGTACAAGCTCTGCATCTATTATAACTACTTAAGAAATGATTAAACTGAGTTTCAAAGAGGTTAAATGAATTGTTCAAGGTGTCATCACCCCTTCCTTTTGGATTCAAGTTTTCCCTCTCTTTACATGACTTTGTCAGTGCTTTTGTAGGAAGAGTTGGTTACTTAAGATTCCTTTTAGTAGAGTTTCACACACATCCACGTAATAAATATTGATTTGTTGACTGAAAGGTAAGCAGCAATAACGTATATTATTTTAAAACTTGAGTAAGAATGATAAAGAACACCTATTGACCAACTGTTGGTTTCAATAGCTCATAAACGGAAGTGGAGTGGAGGTTACTAACGAAGAGGCTTTTCGATAAGAGGTGTTTGGCATTATAGAATGAATGGCTTGGCTTTTCCACATATGTGCTGTAAAGGTGAAGTAGAGGATACACTGAGAAAAGTGGAAAAACTGACTTAAAAAACCAAAACAACTCAGGCTCTGATTCTCCCTCTGGTGAGTCTGGAGAGGGAGCTGGTTTACTTGGGCTCTCCCAGGTTCACACTAAGGCTGTTCCCCTAGGGCTTGGTCTTTATGGAGGTCTGGAAACTGATGTGGCCAAGAAGTTGGAGCAACTCCGCAGCCATTGTGGGAAGCATATTAGTTTGCCACTTGGGATTCATTAAAAAAAAAAAGATAAGTAGGGCATCATTATAGAACCTAGTTTTTAACAGACATCATTTTCCAGTAGTGTAATAAGACACATGATATAGTGATAGAACTTAATGGTCAATTCAAGCACAACCTAACAACTGAATTCAAATAAATGATGTTTTTCTTCTCTTTGCGTAGGGAAAGGCATTTTCTTAGCACTTCATTAAAAAAAAGTAATGTTAAAAATCTTAAAAATCTGTTATATATTTGGAGTGGAGACTTACTCCTCCAAGATCCAGCAAAAATATAACCTCCATTTGAAACCCTCCCTGACCTCTACTCTCTTTTCTATGTTCCTATTGTACTTTATATACATGTCTATTACAGCATTCTCACACTGAATGGTAATTACTTCTCTTCCTCCTATCTTCAGTCTCATGGAATTTGTATACCCAAATCCTAGTCCAGTGCTTGGCACAAAGTATATACTCTTTATATAGTTTTCAGTAAGTAAATGTGTGAGTGATGGATGATTGTCCAGTTATGTATATAGATGTAGTCAAACTCCAGATTAAAAAATAAAACACCCCCAGGACCATATCAGTTAGACCTTGGCAGCAGGCCCAAATGAATTACCTCCCTCTTCCTATTATTAGCACTCCTCATTTGAGAATTTATCACATGGAATCAGAGAATTCTACTTACCATTTTTCCAATCATCATTACATATGGGCCCAAGTATTTGTTCACGCCGAAGATGTCTAACAGACGGATGTACCAATAAATGATGTTCACACAATAGATGACCCTCCCATCACTCCTGAAGGGCTGGTCTTGGAGACGAAGGATCATTCCAACAGAGAACAGAAGGATGGCTATGAGGTCTGTGACATTCCAGTACTCCTGCAGCCACACCTTCACTTTCTGTAGCAACTTCCCTGGCTCTGACATCAGAATCTAAGGGGCAAGGAAGAGAGCGGGGCTAGTTAGGATTGCGGTCTATATTCTCAGCCCAGTTGCAAAGTGCTTGGCCTATTAGTTGACAACTGTAGCTTGTTTTCTTTTTCTGTGTCTACTGGAATACTTGCATGCTGCCAATGTACAACTGGGCAAAGTGTGGGCCATCCAGAGGCAAATATTCCAGAGGCAGATATAAGTAATAAGTTTGATCTTTAGGGTTGCCTCACAATTCCTAGACATGAATTAGGGTTTCCCCTGTAAAATGATTGATTCTTAATACCCCACAAATCTCTGAAATCCTCCTCCATCTGAGTCAACAGCACCACCCTATTGAATTACTCAGACCACCATCTTGGAGGACTCCTTTATTCTTCTCTTTCACACCAGATTCTTTACATCAACATGTCCTATCACCTCTATTTCTAAATCTTACCACTTCTCACCACCTCCACTGCTGCCACTCTATCGTAAGCCCCATCACATCTCCCAGATGACTGCCACAGCCTTCTAACTGGCATCCCTGCCGCCACTGTTGCCCGCGCTGCCTCAACCCGTTCTCTGAGCAGCACACTCTTTACAAACGTAAGCCATGCTCTGGGTGGGGATTCCACAGTTTTATGTATAGGTAAAAACTCACCAAGCTGTACCCTTACAAGTTATTTCCTTACAAGTAAATTACACCTCAATTTAAAAAGAGACTTGAGAGATAAACAAGAACAATAAATACTAAAGCCAATTTTGATAATTGAATGCTCCAATCATCTATGATGCTTTCATTACAGAGAAAGATCCAAGCTCCTTGATGTGACCTCATTTGATGGCCTACCATACTCTCCTCATTCCCCATCCTGCAGCCATGGCGGTCTGCTCTTAAGCATGGCAAATGCATTCTAGGCGCAGGCCATTGGCACTTGTTCCTTCTGTTGGGCATTTTTCTTCTCCAAGATTTTTACATGTTTGGCTTCTCCTCATCCTCATCCTCAAGGTCTCTGCTCACGTTTTTCCTTCTTAGGTGACCTTCCTTGAGTGCCCTCCCTGCAGTGGTCTCCACAGCCCCAAGTCACTCTCTGTTACTCTATTCTATTTTTTGAAGATTTTATCACTATATGAAATTAACTTCTGTGTGCATGTATAGTATGTGTGCCTATGTGTCTGTTTATCTATCTATCTATCTATCTATCTATCTATCTATCAGCTACCTATCTATCCATCCACCATCTCTCTCCACTAGACTCTAAATTCTGAGGGTAGACCCTGTGTTCCCCAGAGCCTGTTACATAATACTCAAAAAATATTTGTGGACTGACTGATTGTTGCAAAGACAACTCACAGCAATTCTCCAGTCCCTTTACTGCTGGGTGGGGCTCTGACTGAGCTTAATTCTAGAGGAGCCTTTTTGCTCACACACACTCTATGAAATGAACAGATACATAGCAGGAGTCGCCACCCATCCCGTCCCACAGCCTGCCCCAGGATACGAGGAGCCAGGGAAGCCAGCCTACTGAGGCAACGTCACAGGGCTACTTGTAGGAATCATTTGTGTTTACCCCTGAGCTTCCATCTCTTTGACTTATGACCCACCCCTTTCCCAACTCAGAACCTCTCAAAGGAGAGAGAAAAGACTGGGGACAGTTCTAATCTGCAGCTATGTATTTGAATTGGCCTATCCCTCTTTATGGCTTACTTTGGCCTGAAATAATAAGGAAGGGAGGTCATTGTAAGTCAGGACGAGGGCTTGGAAGGCTAAGCAAGCTACCAGGAGCCACCTGCTAACCTCATTCCTAAACCAGGCCTTCTTAACCGTTAGCGTGGATCAGGATTACCTGGGGGACCGCAGGTAGCTGGGCCCTACGCCTGGCGTTTCTGCTTCAGTTTGCCTGGTGTGGGGCTTGAGGATTTACTTTTCTAACAAATTCCCAGGCGAAGCTGGTGAACGCAGATTGAGAACCACTGCCTCCTGCATCAGGAATTCCCGCAGCTGCTGTTGTCCCCGTGGCTTCTCACCCCCACTCCACCCTACGTGGGCAAAAACCTGTGTGTGCACCTGTGGGGGCAAGGAGGAGGGGGCCACGAGTTTCTCTAACCCTTTGCCCACACTTTCCTAAAAGTGTTCAACACAAGCTTTACAGTATCATTTTTTATTTATTCTTTAAAATATATTTTTTTGATTTTTCAGAGAGGAAGGGAGAGTGAGAAATATCAATGATGAGAGAGAATCATTGATTGGCTGCCTCCTGCACGCCCCCTACTGGGGATTGAGCCCACATCCTTGGCATGTGCCCTTGACTGGAATTGTACCCGGGACCCTTTAGTCCGCAGGTCGACGCTCTATCCACTGAGCCAAACTGGCTAGGGCTATAGTATGGCTTTTTAAACAGCGAAAATATTCTTGTGATTTCCCAACATTAAAAAAATAAAAAGTGACAAGCTAACTGGCTGGAGGTGAAGCTGGAGTGGGAAGTCGAGCCCCACCCTCCGCCCCTGTCACTTCTCCAGCTGCCTCGGAGGCACCTCTCAGGCTCGAGGAGGATCCCGGGTTGGCACCCACTGAAAGAACAATGGGCGGGCCTAGCGGGGGACTAGTCAAGTTTAAGACCTAGTCCCCTTTCCAGCTGTGGACTACAGAAAAATAGCCCAAACAAACCCGGAGTCTTACCAGTACTTTCCATGACAGTGAAGTGGGGATGTCGGAACAGCCCCGTTGACCTCACAGTGGTGGGGAGGACCCCATGAGACAATGTCTACCAGCACACGCTGTAAACAGTCCCGCGCCATTAAGGGATTACCGTGGCTTGTTGGGGTGACTACACGCAGAAGTATGTGGTTCTGGGAATGGGAGGGCAGCTTGCGAAACCACATATCCCTGTATATCCCTCCTCAGAAGCCTGCAAACTTGGCCATGTTTCCAGGGTCTTGCACCTGAGATCTTGCGGGCCTGGGGCCTGCGTGCTGACTGTGAGGAGGGACCTGCGGGGTCTTTGCTCTCTTGGCAGCTGAGCGTTTCTCGAAGGGGTTCAGGGCCATGGGATGGGCAGGAGGGGGCTGTCTCCCCAGGCTGAAGAGGAAAAGGTCAGACACTGAGGTGGTAGGTCCTCCGACCTCACAGCTTCCTCAGAAGCCAGGGCTCTCCTGCTGAACCCCCGCTGACCCTCTGCTGACCCCTGCTGACCCAGGCTCCGAGCCCTCTGCTATTACATGCCACCTCAGGAGAAATGGATATGCAGCCCGAGGTTCCTGGCAGCCCGCCTGCTTGGCCGCGTCTTCCAGAACAGGCTGTGGAGTACAGGCTGCTCCCTGTCTTCTTCCAGTCCCGTCCCTGGAGAGAGTCCAGCCTCCTTGCTCTAGTCTTTCCCTTTTCTGCTTATCGCAGGGAAGGAGGCGCATCTGGGCGTCAAATCACAGGGGAGCGAGCTGCCACCTCTCAGCGACCGAGTCCTTAGCGGGAGGAGGTCTCAGTTCTCAGAGAGCCACGCAAAGACCACGCAAATGTACGCAAAAAGCCACACCCGGGTCAGGAAGTAGAGGCCTATGGACTGGTCAGAGCAAGGCAAGAGGGCAAGGCATTTTTTTTTTTTAAATCTAGTCCCTTATAAAATGGGAGTAATGTACCCACAGCCAAACTATGATTTTTTACGTTCTCAATAGGAAGGGGTCTAATAAATACTGCATCTTTCCCTCTATAGGAGAACATTGTAGAGCTGAGACCTAAGCTAGTAAGGGCCTTTTAACCTGTTTTTGTAATGAAAACAATGGTGGATTTGTGGATTCGCAGGAATCCTTTTTCCCGTGGAACTCAATAGATTTCCCCACTCACTGTAGTACAGAGAGGAGGATGTTCGGGATAGAGGGAGCAGGAGACTTGACAGGAGCCTTCTTCCAGGAAAGGCCTCTCCTGCAGTGCAGTGTCAGGGGGAAATGCAGAGGAATCATACCCACAAGCCTGCCTTCCCTATGGGTTTGGGAACGGGAGCTTGGGGAGGCTTTGAATAGGGTTGCAGCGCCCTCTGGTGGACTTTTATTCATTTGAGCAGTTCTGTACGTGATGGCCTCTGAGGCTGACTTAACTGTCATGTGGGGGTGGTGTTATGATGGCTCCTTTAACTCCACGGGGTTAGGGGGGGTGGGGGGGGGAAGAGAGGGACCTACACTCTCAACCTGAAGGGTGAGAAATATGCTCAGTTCACTCCAGTGACGCCCGGGGCTGGTGCCCAGCAAGTACATAACAAATAGTGAGAAGGAATAAATCAGAGAACAAATTAACTTCCTAGAGCAGGTGAAACGCACTTGGAGAATCATAGGTATTGGCGCACCCTGTCCAAAGAAACACCCAGAGGGATGGGTTTGCAATGGGAGTTAAAATCGGAAAGATTTAAAGATTAAAAAAAGGTAAAAAGTGGAAAAACTTAAAAAGTCATGTTTATAGGGAGAAGTAAACACTTTTGTAAACAGCCCAGCCAGTGTGGCTCAGTGGTTGAGCATTGACCTATGAACCAGGTAATCACGGTTCGATTCCCCGTCAGGGCACATGCCTGGGTTGCCAGCTCGATTCCCAGTGTGGGGCATGCAGGAGGCAGCCGACCAATGGTTTTTCTCTCATCATTGATGTTTCTACCTCTCTCTCCCTCTCCCTTCCTCTCTGAAATCAATAAAAATATATTTAAAAACAAACAAACCTTTAAATAGTGTTGAAAACAACTTGAGGGATTCCTCGGGCAAATGCTATGTGAGCAGGAAATGTACTAATCCTTAGGGCTCATGGAGTGATGACCCTGGGAACTCACTGGAGGCCTCCCCCGGGGTTGTCTGCAGTCCTTGAAGCCACGTCCACATTTCTGTGGCCACATTAGAGAACATTCTCTTTAATGTTCTGGATTTGCTTGGATCGGGAGCGTCCCCCTCTCCCCACCATGCACAGATGTAACCGACCACGGTGTTTTCCCTCAGTTCTTTTTTATGAAAGTGGTTACCTCTCTCATCTTCTCTATTCCCAGGGTGAAAATGTAGGAAATGACGATCCATTCCTGGGTGGAAGGCCAGCGCTCCATCTTCACTAACACGATATAGTTGAAGAGCATCAGGTATCCGATGTACGCCAGCTGTAAGGAAACACAATACGGTGCTCTGGCTGCGAAGGCCCGGGAGCCCTGCCCTTGGGCAAGGCTACCTCACAGCAGGACAAGAAAAAGGTCAGCGAGCGGGACTCGGAACTCATGAACTTCAAAGCTCTAAACTCTCCAAAGGATATAAAAAGATGGTAACATTGGGAATAATTTGATATGCAATCTCCCTTTTGACTCTTACATTTGTCTCTGTGTCATGAAGCATCACTTCGTTTTGCAAGGACCCAGGCTCTCATGTCTGCCTGGCTAAAAAGGGAACCTCTTCGCCCCAGAGCTGCGCTTGCTCATGCGTGAGCTCGAGGTTCTTGAACTAGGGCAGCACAGTGGATCGTTGCCTAATGAGTGCCAGGTGGATTGAATGTCGGTAAGAAGGAAAAGAAGACGCTTGCTATACTTGTAAATCGGTCGAGCCAACACAAAAATAGCCTGGACTTTATCTAGAAGCCTGACTTGAATTCTCTTCTGAGATACTGTCTCTTTCCCCCCACCTCCTCCTACCTTAGGATGGTTGGCCTGACAGTGCCCTGGCAGGGTTTTACCTGTTTCTCATTGCACCACCTTCCTGCCCTATTCAAGTTGGAATATTCCTTCCTGGTTTCTGCTTCTTTGAAACAAAACAAGGGAAAACAAAGCAATGTTTTCGAGAGAAATGGCCGACCGTGTGGCCATTCTGTGTGGCTGAGTGTAGCTTGGAGTGAGCTCATGAGGCGCTGGCATCAGAGACTGAACCCTGTTGGGACTGGCTGGCTCGCTTGCTGGGTGTCCCTGGGAGCCTCGGGGTTCAGGTTTGGTGACATCCCTGGTGGACTCAGTTATGTCTACATGGCCGGAATGTAGGAGGGCTGGTGGGTTCTTGCACAGGGGCTGGGAGCCTAGGAGGGAAGACTCACCTAGGGGGAATGGCATATCAGTTAAACCTTTTCTAGGCAAAGCTTCAAGCTGAGGAAGGCACTTGCTGGCTCAGGGGCCTTAATATGAGTCAAAGGTATTTTTGGAGATCCTATTATGTTGACACATTTATAAATACAGCTGTATAATTTCTCATCTCTTAAAGGCAAAGGATGGAGGCCTTGAGGTTCTGGAGATACAAGGAGAAACTGGCAGCCTACAGAGCTAGAGAAATGCTGCTTTCCCTACTAATGGCCTGGGAGGTTTGTTCGTGTACACCCACCCCCTCAGGGACCGTCATTCGTGTACACCCACCCCCTCAGGGACCGTCATTTTAACCCACGTCTCAGTTCCTCCCCCACTCCCTCAGGATCATTAGCACATCGTGAATGCCTCACCTGAAAAGAGTCTACTCGACCTGAAATCCTGTGGGGTGGTGTTTAAAATGGCATTTGGTTCACCTGGTTGCTGTTTACCATCACACACCCTAGTCCCCGTGCATATGGCATTTTACAAGCGGCAAAAAAAGGACTTCGATGGTTAAACTCTAAAATGTACTCTCAGCCTCCTTCTGACCTGAAATCCTTCTCCCTTTCTTGTTGCTTCCTTCTCCTGTTGGATCCTATTCTATTACTTCTAGGTGAAATGAATCTTGTTAACTGCCCTGGTTTTTTTTTATCATTTTACCCAATTCATTGCAAAACATTACAAAACATTATCTTCTCTTGTCACATGTAGGCCCAGTGACACACAACTTCTTTCAGGACCTTTGCATATTAGTACTTAAGTACAGGCAAACAACCGGAGATCTTGCAGTTCAGTTCCAGACCACTGCAATGAAGCAGGGATCACAATAAAGCCAATCATCATCTTTTTGCTGGGGGAGGGTCTTGCCTTCAATTTGTAAGAGACACAGCATCTGGGAAGGGCAATAAAGCCAAGCGCAATAAAACGAGGTGTGCCTGTAACTCTGTTGCCTAATGAGTTTGCCGACCACTGGTAGCGTATTTGTTTGGTGGAAGGAATAGTGTTTGGGGAAAGGAATGTAGACACAGAAGTCAGTCAAACTTGGATTTCAATCCTATCTCAAGTACTTGCTGGCTGCATCATTTTGTGATTTCACTTCACCTGCTTGGACCTCCATTCTGGGAAATGGAGATGACTACTCCTGGCTTTACAGAGCTTTTGAAAGGTTTGGGGTGTTTGTGAGAGGGGATATGCATTTAGCTCAGTGATTCCCAAACTGGCTCAATGGATGGTGGCTAACCTCCACAAGTAGGGCTTTAAGCATGTTTAACAGCACAACAGAGGAGCAGCCGCTGTGCTGGAAACAACCTATCTTAGAACTTGCCGAGATTCATGGAGCCGGCTGCAGACCTCAACATGACATACTTAAATGGTGTGTGTGTGTGTGTGTGATTAGCTCCTGACGCAGTGCAGAGGCTCAATGGATGGTGGCTAACCTCCACAAGTAGGGCTTTAAGCATGTTTAACAGCACAACAGAGGAGCAGCCGCTGTGCTGGAAACAAGCTATGTTAGAACTTGCTGAGATTCATGGAGCCGGCTGCAGACCTCAACATGACATACTTTAATGGTGTGTGTGTGTGTGTGTGTGTGTGTGTATTCACACACATATTTTGTGAGTTTTAACAAACTCTATGTAGAATGTCAAAGCTTTGAAAAGGAATATAACCTATGATTCTTAGTTAAGCCAGCGGGAATCCTATAAGAATTGTTATGCTTATATATCCTCTTTAGAAATTTCCCATTAACCAAGGTGTATGACTCCTAAACCATGAAATGCAAGCGCCAAAGCCTGCCTCAGCTGCCTGTGGATCCCGGTGGGGCTGTGCCATTCCTTGCCTCCTTTTCCTACTGCCGCTAGAGAGTGGAGGGGGCACGTGGCGTTTTTTATAGGAAGGAGTCCGTCCCTGCTGATGCCCTCTGACCTGGGGCCATGTCACCTTGAATTTGCATCCTCTCTAGCTGGGCACTTGAAGCCAGCTCTGATCACAGACATGGCCTGCGAGCCAGCTGGGTCCCTCCCTCCTTTCCTCTTGGAGCAGAAGGGGACCCAACCTGCTCCTCCGGAAACTCGCTATGACACAGAAGTGAGGTTATGTGCAAGTGAGGTGTGTTCCACTTTCAGGACCTTGAGCGTGTAGAAGGAGATACTTTTGGAATTAAGGCTGGGAAACACTCTTACAGAAGAGAACACCACAAAAGCACATGGCCCTGTTGACCTAAAGCTGACTTTTACGGTGAAGCATCCTTGGGGATTTAAAAGGTTGACACCCCCCATCTCCATTTACTTCCTTGAGGTTGGGTTTGGTCAATACATAAATGTGGATTTCTGAAAACCGTGTAAACACAATCGAACATGCCCGGAGCATCCAGTCTGATGGGATTCCTGAGGCTGATCCAGCCAGCCAGGCGGAAGGAGCGGATACGCCCCCACTCCTCAGAGAGGCGGCTTCCCCGCCAGCGCCTATGAAACAAGGGAAGCAGTGCATCCCGTTTCCAGGCCCACCAGGCTCACCTGGGAAGCTTGTTACACACACAGCTCCTCAGGCTCCTCTCCCTGCACACTCAGTTTAGTGGGTCTGTGATGGGGCCCGGACTTGCATTTCCAACAAATCCCTTATCATGATGGAAACACTGGGCTAAAAACTAGCCCTCCGTCTGGGCTGGTGGTTGCCAGTTCTGGCTGCTCATTGTGACTGCCGGGGAGCTCTGAAATACCCTGGTGCCCAGGCTGTGCCCCAGACCAATGCCGCCAGAATTTCATCAATGAGTAGCCAAGGCAGAGAACCAGGGCATTTGTGATTTAAAAACCTTCTTGGCTAACAACTTGCCTCAGATGAAAAATGGGGACTGGAGTAATCAAGGAAATAAAATGAATACAGAACACAGGTCAAGAAAAAAAGAGAAATGCCTGGGAAGGACCAGAGAAGGGAGCGCTCTTCATAAAGGGATGGGTAATTCTCCTATTGGCTTGGTTTCTGCTCTCAGTCCGGGACCTGCAAATGTTTTGTAAAGGGCCAGATAGTTCATTTTTAACGCTTTGTTGACCTGATGGGCTCTGAAGCAAGTAATCCACTCAATAGCATAAAAGCAGCCAGGGTGTAGGTCTGTGGTTGGCAAACCGCGGCTTGCGAGCCACATGCGGCTCTTTGGCCCCTTCAGTGTGGCTCTTTCACAAAATACCATGTGCAGGCGCGCACGTACTGTGCGATTGAAACTTCGTGGCCCATGCACAGAAGTCGGTATTTTGTGGAAGAGCCGGTATTTTGTGGAAGAGCCACACTGAAGGGGCCAAAGAGCCACATGTGGCTCGCAAGCCGCAGTTTGCCGAGCTGCAGTTTGCCCACCACTGGTGTAGGTGAATGAGTGAATTGGCTGTGTTCTAATAAAACTTTATTTATGGACACTGCAATGTAAATTTTATATAATTTTTATGTGTCACAGAGTATCCTTCCTTTGATTTTGTTTCAACTCTTTAAGAATGTAAATCCATTCTTAGCTCACAGGCCACAACAACAGCAGTGGCTGGATTGGGCCCGTGGGTTCCAGCTCGTCAAGCCCTATTCTAGGCGAGACACCGGGGCAGCCCTGAATAAGAGGAAGGACAGACCTGAGCAAAATGCAGTGAAAATATTACCTTGATGAAACTATTAGATTCGGGAAAGTGTATATGAACACCTAGAACAGTGCCTCATAGTAGGTGTTCAATAACTGATACTTCATTATTGTTGAGTGGGCGAATGAATGAAACACTAACTCTTGCTCCGCAGTAGAACTAGCCTAGGAAGAACAAGGTGCTCTCAGGCACTGTTCTCAGTGCTTTACACGTTTTAACACATCCAATCTTTACTAAACCTCCTACAGCAGGCGCTGTGGTTACCCCCAATCTTAAGAAAGCTGGGGACAGAGTACTAAAGGAACTGGCTTGAAGTCACAAGTTACTTTACTAAGACAGGATTTCTACTCAGGCAGTCTGACTCCCAAGTCCATGCTTGTCACTACTAAGGTGTTTTCTGCAAGGTAAAAATAACCAACATCTGTATATACACATGCATAGAAATAATCTTTCCATGCCTTCGTTATTATTTTTTAAGAGGGAATTAAAAAAATATTAATATATTTAAATTTTGCTTCCCTAAAAAAAGCCCAATCTTTATATTTTGATAATATCCCATCCTCTCTCAAGGCTGTACGTTCAAGCAGGGGTTTTCAACTGGTGGCGATTTTACCCCACAAGGGGACATTTGGCAGTGTGTGGGGACAATGCACCATTGGGGCGTGAAGAGGCCAATGTGCTGCTACAATGAACAGGACAGGCCTCCTTCACCAAGAATTACTCTGCCCCAAATGTCCACAGTGCTGAGAAAGCCCCATTTAAACCCAGCACGCAGTGTTAGCATACAGGGCCGCACGAAAAGCACCTCATCTGGTCACTTGAGTCACTGTGGCCTCAGACTCGGGTTATCCTGTTGCTGACTCAGTGACTGGGATGTAGCTGGTTGTGAGAAAGGCCGAAAATACAGACGTACAGATGCCTCCTTCACCTGGCACAGCTCCACTGTGGCCGGAGAGAAGCAGACACGACCTGGGCCACAGCTCAAACTTAAAATATCGTTGAAAAGTAGAAGTAGAAACCCAACAGTTGAGCCATTTCTACCACATCAGGAGGCTGTTTCAGGGACAGTCTTTCTTTTTTTTTTAAAATATATTTTATTGATTTTTTACAGAGAGGAAGGGAGAGAGACAGAGAGCTAGAAACATCGATGAGAGAGAAACATCGATCAGCTGCCTCCTGCACATCTCCCACTGGGGATGTGCCTGCAACCAAGGTACATGCCCTTGACCGGAATCGAACCTGGGACCTTTCAGTCCGCAGGCCGACGCTCTATCCACTGAGCCAAACCGGTTTTGGCTCAGGGACAGTCTTTCATCGTAGGGGCAGGAAATGTCTGCAGGGTGTGCTCACTGAACAGTATTTGCCATGATTGCAGTTTGCTTTAGTAGTTGCTGCTGCTTTGTTTGCATGTTAGCTGGGTCAGAGCAAGAAAGGTTGTCCGATGACACTACCAGACGGGGAGTGATGACACACTAACGCTACTCATCGTCAGTGGTGTTACTCCTACCACTCTGCTCAGCCCATACCCACCAACGTCCCCCAAACCCAGCGCTGGCATCTAAAATAGGCAACTCTGAAGCCCTGGCTGGGTAACTCAGTTGGTTAGAGAGTTGTCCTGATATGCCAAGGTTGCAGGTTCGATCCTGGTCAGGGCACAGACAAGAATCAACCATTGAATGCATAAATAAGTGAAACAACAAAAATCAATGTCTCTCTCTCTCTTTCTCTCCCCACCCCCCCCAAAAAAACAAAACAAACAAGCAAAAAATACGCAACCAGGAACTCTAATCCAGCGCTCATCCACCTAGAACAGGGAAGCATTTTATAAAATGACATCTATTTTCCTGCTAGACTAGATTCATACTCATCTCACCTCTATTTCTGTAAGTTCTCGCTTTTACTATTCTTTATTTTCTGCGAGGAGCAGAAATGTAGATGCTATGTAAGCTGGCTCACAGACTCCACAAATCTTTCTAAGCGATTGGAAAAAGCAAGGTCTCCCTAAGGCAGTGGTTCTCAACCTTCTGGCCCTTTAAATACAGTTCTTCATGTTGTGACCCAACCATAAAATTATTTTCATTGCTACTTCATAACTGTAACGTTGCTACTGTTATGAATCGTAATGTAAATATCTGATATGCAGGATGGTCTTAGGTGACCCATGTGAAAGGGTCATTCGACCGCCAAAGGGGTCTCGACCCACAGGTTGAGAACTGCTGCCCTAGAGTGTTTGTTTATGCCTGTGTGGTCTTCATACTATGACTCACAGAGGACACCACCCAGGTGCGTGAGAAATTGATGTTGGCTCCTTGTGGCCATCTCTCAGGAAGAAGAAAAGGCAAGATACTCACAGTGTAGAACCAGAACTTCACGATGGGGGCATTGTAGAACTCGTAGATTTTTCTGCCCAAGGGGATTAACCGGTGCCTGCTCTGAACTTCTTCTTCATCCTTCTTCCTGGAAGATTCCCCGTTGCTTCGTCCCAACATTGCCTGCAGAGGGAGAGAATGAATATCATCACAGCAAGGCTCTGGAGGTCATGGAGTTCAATGTGTTCGTTTACACAGGAGGAAAACATGCTCATAGAACCTAAGGCATTGTCCAAGGCTACCAGAGAGTTAGAGACTGTGCCTTTCCTACATGTGCATTTTTTTTCTCTCTCATTTTTAAAAAATATGTTTTTGTTGATTTCAAAGAGAGGGAGGGAGAGGGAAAGAGATAGAAACATTGAGAGAATCACTGATTGGCTGCCTCCTGCACACCCCCCAATGGGGATTGAGCCCATAACCTGGGCATGTGCCCTGACTGGGAATTGAACTGTGTTCATAGGTCAACACTCAACCACTGAGCAACACTGGCCGGGCACCATATTTGTGCTTTTGCATTATACATATAATCTGGCATGGAAGCCCTTAGGGATATTTCTTGACCATTCTTGTCTCTTCCACCCTGGGGACCTCTGGAAGATGTGAGTGACGGGAGAATTCTGAGAGGGAGAAAGAGTGTTGCCTGGGAAGGCCATGACTCTGGCTTGTCTCCTAGTTCCACTATCGTCATATATATTGTGAAACAAGCAGGTCTGGGTTCAAATCGTGTCTTCCCTCATGCTAATGACGCTTAAGTCAAAGGTAAATTGGATCACTAATACCTAACTATTAGAGTGCCTAGAGCTTAGTCAGGTTAGAACATCTCCCCAACCCTTTGGCATCTGCCTTGGTTATCTGATCTCAAACACCACAGAACCTCAATTACTGCTGATGTTAGTTTCATGGCAACTCCTGGACACACTGCCTTCCTCTGCGTGGCAGCGTCATCCAGGCGGGGCTAGAAGCCAGGCCTGACCTGGAGAGGCCCTCATCTCAAGCTGCTGGAGCTTTCCTCAAGAATTATTTCCTTCTCATTCATAAAAATAGCAGCAGCAACAATAATAATGATGTAACATCACGGAAAAGGCAGAATTTGAGAAAAGACAGACACAGGCCTGTCTGGATGGCAAGTGACAGGATGTCCCAAAGATGGCTAAGATCCTAGGGGTGAAGAGTTCCAGGCTTTGGGTCGCTCAGAGGAGCATCGAGTCCTAACTTGGACACTTGGACTCCATGGCACCTTGGTCAAGTTTTTTAACCTCACTGAGACTTAGTTTCTTTGTAGAATGAGGGTAATACTAGCACCTGCTATAGGGTTGGTCTATAATCACTAAGCATCTGGCACTTAAGTATTAGTTGGTCTTTAAAGGGATCTGAGACTTTCTCAAATACTGTTGACTAAAATGATCTAGTTGATATCTCTCATCAGAAAAGAAAGTATGTTATTAGGAGTCTATTACAGCATAATTTCTTGGCTTTAATTCTTTCAATATCATTCTAAGACAAGGTTAGTTCAATAGTGTTTGGGATATAAAATTTTCATTAAATGTGAGAACAAGGTAAAACCTTTTAACTGCTTATAGACTAATTTGGGATAAGAAAAACTTGGGAATACAGGTTTGTAGTTGAGACATCAAATTATAGAAATAATTTCTGGTTATTTTGAAGTTGAGAACACAGACAACCCCTAGGTAATCCTGTTTACAAACCACCTTACATAAAATCCTAGCGAATAAAAGCCTAATATGCAAATTGTTCGATTGGGAGTTCATCTGCTTGCTATGACGTGTGCTGACCACCAGGGGGTGGTGCGGAACATGGTGGGCATTGGTGGCATTGGCAGTGGGCGGCATTGGAGGTGCTGCCGGCCCCAATGGGCCCTGATGAGAGCAGAACCGTGGTAGGATGGTGGAGTAGGTGAGTGGGCGGTGCCAGGCCAAGGTGGGTACGGAGCCCAATTGCCCCACCAATCGCCCCACAGATGGCGACCAGTAGTGGTGGCGGGGGCGGGGCCACCCCCTGGCTCCCAGGCACTGAGGGAGCTGGGTGGGGGACCAGGCCCCGATCCATCACCCCCCAGACAGTGACCAGTGGCCCACAGGCCTGATTAATAAATTAATTTAAAAAAACATTTTTAATACTTTACTTAAACTCATGAAAGATAAGCCATTTAAAAATACATCCACTTTAGAATATAACTGAACAATAAAAGCAAAACAGGTTGTTGTATTTTTGTTTTTGTTTCACCTGCATTGCCAGATAATGTCTTGCATTTTGCCTAATAACGTCTCAACATGCCCACAGACCCAGGACATTGTTCTGACTCTGTTGGGAAAGCCGCTGTCCCTAGAGGTTACCCAAAGATGCCACTCTCCCAGATGCCTAAACCCTCCAAACTGCCTTTACTCTCATCTCACTGTGTTCCCAAATAGCATTGTATTGTTGAGCACATAAATAAGTGAACAGAAGTAGGGTAATTGTGTTTATGTTACATAAATTATAAGTTATACAGGGACAAATATGTAGCCTCAGAGTTTCTTGGAGCCAGTGATCAATATTTATGAAACTCTATTCCTTTCTAGTTTGCTATATCCATCATAAAGATTGATTCAACTTACTGACCAAAACCAACTCCTAACTAGGCCAGAGTATAGAATGGTACCTATTCATTAACTCAAGGTACTTTTCTAGCCAAAGGGTCCATAAAGGAATGGAAGTTACCTTCTCCAGAAATCCTGTTGGTCACAGGCAAATCATTTGTGATTGATAGATATGTGAGTGACGTGGATATTTGAGACAATGACAAAAATAGTCAAAGCTAATATTTTATACCAGAGGCCTGGTGCACGAAATTTGTGCACAGGGTGCGATCCTAGGCCTGGCCAGCGATCAAAGCGCAAGCATCTGGTGTGGAAGGGCAGGCAGGTCTCAGCTGACTTCTGGGCCCTGGGCAGCACCTGGGCCCCACACTCCCCCCTCCACCTGAGTCATGGTGCCCGAGTTCCCACCTGGAGATGTGGTGAACACGGCAGGACACCACAGGCTGGGGCACAGCATGGGCCTCTGGGCCACCCAGCAGTGCTGCATGGAAGCTAGGTGGGCAGCACACTCTCTCCTGGCCAGCCTCACAGACTGACTCCTGCGTGAACCCACAGGGAGCCCGACCGGCCCCTGAGGGCCCGGAAGCTGCAGCCCGTCTCACCTGGAAGAGACCGCACGGGTGCGGAGTGGGCTCCTCATGGGCACCCAGCACCTGAGGCTTCCTGGCATGGGAGCCCTGGCGTCCTGGGGGAGGGTAGCAGGGGGAGTGAGAGCGAGCTCGGCGGATACCCCGAATTCTCACCACACCTCCATCCCCGTCACCTCCACCCCCAGATAGCCAGCGAGAGGTAACAGCCCCCCACCCAGGCACCGCGGGAGGTTGGTTGCTGCCACCCACCCCCCGTATGAGAGAGAGAGAAATATCAATTTGTTGTTCCACTTATTTATGTATTCATTGATTGATTCTTGTATGTGCCCTGACAGGGGATCGAACCTGCAACCCTGCGTATCAGGATGATGTGCTAACCGACTGAATAAAGCATTTTTGATATTTTATTAATTCCAGCCTAAGCAGCTTAATTTGCTGATCTTGTTAATTTCCTTCCCCAGTAGTCAAACATTTCCTTTGCCTACATTCCTTAAAGCAGAATGTAATAGGGCCAAATACAGACAAAACTGCACAATATAAACTTGAAAAATCTTTGCTACCTGAACACAGATGTCAAGTCTGGTAAGAGCCTCTGAGGTGAACGAAGCTAGTAAACGCCACTAAAATTAGCAAAGGAAGGCTGATATCTCACGCACAGCTTTGGAAGGGCCAAGAGAAACGGCCCCGTTCTAAGAGAGGAAATGCTGGTTTTACAAGGAAGCTCAGGTATTAATCCTATAAAAAGAGCAGAGGTGCAACGAATTGCATTCTCCAGTCCTGTCCAGGGTCCGAGCCAATACCAGGGTCCGCACTGTGACAATATTTATCATTAGGGTCAAAGGAAGTCCTACCTTGAAGACAACTGCCATCCAACCCTGACTTTGCCAGCCCACAAGTCCCTTCCTTCCTTCCCTTCTCCCTGCCCTTCCAGCCTGTAGGGAAGAAGATCGAGCAGCAATGACATGTTGGTGTCTTCTACTTGCGTTCTCAATAAACAACCAGGGGCTACTCTCCAGGAAGCAGACTTTGTCTCAGCCCAGAGATGCATCTTTACTGTGGCTTCTTGAAGGGTCAGGTTCCCAAAGCTCTAGACCAGGGGTGGGGAACCTTTTTTTTTTTCTGCCAAGGGCCATTTGCAGCCATACAGAATTATCAACGTAAAAATTAGCCTGCTATATTTGGTCAAACATTTAATTAACTCACCTCTAATGCCTTGGCAAGGCCAAACCAAATGATTTCACAGGCCTTATACGGCCCGAGGGCCGGACATTCCCCACCCCTGCTTGACTGAGGAGAAGGAAGCTGCCTCCTTTATTTTCTTCTTTGAGACCCAACAAGAAAAAAATACTGCCTTCAGCTTCTGGCTACCTTCCTAAAATCCTCCCTCGAGCCTTCTTAGCAAGTATGCCAATGTCAAGGCCATGTCCTACTTGACATAGGAGTCCCATGCATCACTTTCAGATTCTCTCTGCTACATGGTAGATCAAACCAGCTGAGTGCCTACATTTGATACTAGGACAAAAAAAAAAAAATTAGCATAGCCTATCAGCTAAAAGCAGGGCCAATGAAATCTCTATGCCTGGGTTCTAATGCCCGAGTTACAACTAATTAGCGGAGTACCCTTGGGCAATTTAACCTCTCTGAGTCTCAGCTTCCTCATCTATAAGATGGGATAAATAATAAAGGGTGTCCCAAAATTCACGCAAAAAGTAATTTTGATAGAAAACACAGGTTTATAATTAAAAATTGTAAATTTTTTATTGATTCATAAAATATACAGTATAGGGTTACGTATGGAATAGCATATCGGGTAAATGGCCTCCACGGCTTTTCTGGCACATACACTTTTGTTGAAATTTTCCATGACCGAAATGTGGCTGCTCAGGCAATAACAGTTAATGGTGCTCGCTATCTCGACATGATAATCCAGTTTTTTGTGCCATGGAGGCCATTTACCCGATATGCTATTCCATACGTAACCCTATACTGTATACTTTATGAATCAATAAAAAATTTACATTTTTTAATTATAAACCTGTGTTTCTATCAAAATTACTTCTTGCGTGAATATTGGGACACCCTTTTAGTACCTACCTGTGGGATTGTTGTGAGGACTCCACCAGTAAATGCATGTGAAGCACTTAGCACTGTTTAATCAAGGCTTACCTCGCGCTCGACACCAGTGTACATGGTTTACATGCACACTTTTTATATAGTCTACATGCACCTGTAAGCTACTATTATTCCCATGTTAGAGGTTAAAAACTGTGTCTGTGGTTCCAGAGGAGGTGATGGGGCAGGGTTCTGGAGCCAGGGCACACACTCTTTACCCCTCCGCTGAAGCTGTCAATAAAGACCCTGTAGTACTACTACAACGCTGCTGCTCATAATCAAAATAGGTTCTACCCTCGAAGGGTGCAGAGGCCAAAAATATGTTAAGATCCTTAGGGAAGGCAGTCACCCCTATCACAGAGGGAAGTAGACGGCCAATTTTTACACATTGAAACTGAAAGCAAACATTGGCTTTAAACTCAATGAGTCAAAAGCTGTGAATGATTTATCCATCAAAAGAGTGTCCCAATGTATATACCCTGTTACACGTGAGGCTGAAACTGTGCCTTAAAATAGATCTTTAGAAAGGGCCTAGTGGGAGGAGATAGTGTTTATTTGGAGGAAAACGCAATTCACAGAGGTGTCCTACTAGGATAATAATGCAAGGCCTTTTGTCACCTGAGCAAAACCAATTTTTGTTTTCTCCCCTTACAGCTTCTCTGGGTCATCACAGTGACTGGTGAGAGGGCAGGGGAGGGTGGGGCATATCAAGGAGGTCCTGTGGAGTTGTTGCTTGATGTCTCTAAAGCTATGAAGCCTTGTTTGTCCCTTTAACAGCCTGTGATATTTTTAGACCTTGGCTACAATCCAGTGGCAGTCACGCTGCTCCGGCGGGGGTTGCGGGAAGCTGTCCCATGCCCAGCTGCCCCATTTGCCCTGCAGAACAAAGCATCCATGCTCTATAATTACACCAGGAAGAGCTAAGAAAAACCTTCCATACAAACCTCAACATTCTATTAGTCCTGCATTGTGAGCCCGACCCTGAAGACAGATAAAGGCTCAGCTTCTGATCAGAAGAAGAGTTCCAGCTCAGTGAAGCCGGCTGCTCCCAAACCACCAATCTCCTTTCTTTCCTCAAGTGCTGAGGCTGCCACACCACCTGGTTGTTTATACAGCACTACCTGATGGGGAAATTAAGGGTGCCTTGCTTTTGAATTTCATTGGGTTGTCCTGTACCACTAACCCTGGCTGAAAAATTTCACATCTAATTAGTTTCTATAGTCATATTATTTGTGCATAGAGAGGGCACTTTCATAATACCCTGGTCTCACCACTCAAATGAAAGCACCTGGTGGGAGGCTGACCTCAGGAGTTACGGAATCTGAAGCCATATCAATGGGACACGTGGATGAGGGATTGTCCCCATGGACAATAACTGAGGAGTATTTTCTTACTGTCAGTTCCATATCCTCTTCGTCTTTTTCTTTCGTGGGCTTTTCTGGTTCTTCTGGCTCCTTCTCTTGGAGATGGATTTCCTGGGCCTGAGTCATGTAAGGCATGTCGTCTTTGTTCTTGAACTCCAAGCTGAGAATTGAAGGAGGAAGTAGAATTCCCAGAATTACCTAAAGTAATAATAATGATAATAATAATAATCACATTTAAGGGATTAAGATTAGAGTGGTTGCTTAGAATCAGAGGGCCTGGGGGTGGTGTGTGTGTACGAGTGTGTGTGTGTGTGTGTGTGTGTGAGTGTGTAAATGAGTGTTGTGTGTGCCCCAAGGGAGGACCTGCATATTTGAATAACTATGTATATTAATGCTACAAGAGTCATTTGTGTCAACCTGGGAACTGTTATGCACCATGTAGGGTATTTTTACAATAAGCTTCTTTGCCGTAAACATCTTCACCACAAGCATTTTTGCTGTTAAACTAATTGGCTGTAAAGCAATTTTGTCATAAAAGATAAAGTAACTGGTCAACAGTTTGACAGTGTACTCCCGTTTTTATATTACATAAATCTTAGCCCTCATATTGGTCTATACCAGTGGTTCTCAACCTTCTGGCCCTTTAAATACAGTTCCTCATGTTGTGGTGACCTGCAACCATAAAATTATTTTCGTTGCTACTTCATAACTGTAATGTTGCTACTGTTATGAATCGTAATGTAAATATCTGATATGCAGGATGGTCTTAGGTGACCCCTGTGAAAGGGTCGTTTGACCGCCAAAGGGGTCACGACCCACAGGTTGAGAAACGCTGGTCTATACAGTGACAACTAGACATGGAGGTCTTAAAATAGTGAATGATAACTATGTATATCAACTTGGTAGAAAATATGGTGACAAAGTTACTGAAAGTGTGAAATAACAAAGTGTAAAGCCAGATTTCATACTATACTAGAGTATGATCACTGACATATCAGTTTGCAAATCCTTTGGTGATTCGAAGGTGGGGAGTTGAACCCGTATTTCTCATAGAACTTTGCGATGTCTATTAACAGCCATGAGACAAGACGCCAAGAATAAAAACAACAGGTAAGCAGCTCAGCTCAAAAGAGGAGACAGATCAACATGCAATGAATGTATGAGTGCTTAAGTACAACCCACAGAATAAAACCGGGTACATGCACAGTATTATCATGAATCTACACGTTTTAAATGAATTCAGATATTTTGTATTTCATAATAGTCTTCTTAATTTTGTGACGAAAAATGGATTTCACTATGTCCTTTTTAATGTCCCTTTTTATTTTATTTTATTTTATTTATTTTATTTTATTTTTCCACCACCATTTATCCCCCTCGTACGCTCTTCATCTCCAAATCCCTCCTCCCCCTTTACCACACCCCCTCTTCCCATAATCACCACACTATTGCCTGTGTCCATGAGTTCCTTCTCTTTTTTTCTTTTTTGCTCCATCTTTCCACCTCCCCTAACACCCCCCCCGCCGACCAGAGCTGTCTGCCTGTTCTCTATCTATGAGTCTGCTAATTTTTAAAATTTTATCTTGTACAGAAAAATTGCCTTATGGCCAATTAGTTTTGTGGCAAACATGTTTGTGGCAAAGCAGCTCATTGCAAAAATGCCTAGAACCGTTGTGCACAATAGCTCAATCTGATTTTGGAGAAACAAAGCATCTTACCAAAATATATATTACCCAATTAAACTCACTTTGCATGGGGGAAACTGAGGAAAAAGAGAGCGCCTACCCAAGGCAAGAGTGGGAAAGAACTGAGTCTCCCATTTAGGCATTAAACAGCACTTGATTGGTGAAATCAATTCATACGTATATCCATTGGCATTTATTTGCTAGTGTGTCAATTGGAGTTGATCGTGTCATCTAATTATCTCTAAAAAATGCTGTCCTAAGTTGACCTTGAGAAAGTCCATGTAGGAAAGCATTTTATTCATTATAGAGCTTTCCCCTGTCATCTACTACTATCCCACAGAAACACACACATACACACCCCAGCGGGCTCTGTATTCACTACGGGAAGCCTCTGTTCAAATACAGGGTCCCGCACTGTATTTCTCTCATGTCTAAACAGCATGCTTAAGTCTCTATGTGACGATACTGAATCCACGGGCCTTTTTCACAAGAAGTAACCCCATTCTCGGTTTGCCAGGACAATGCATTTCTGAGTGATAGTACTGACATCTGACTTGTGTTTCCTAAATCTTCCACCTCTCTCCTAATCCTAAAATGGTTCTATTGCACAAGATTCCAGAATATGAACCGAGGTGAGGGGCAAAGAGGATCCTGGAGGGTAAGTAAAAATAATTCTCAAATAACAAGTTAAGGACAGCCCATGCTCGAATGCCTGCAGGGACTCTGGAGCAGCTAAGGGAAAAGGGAGAGCGATGGCCCTGAACTCAGGGTGCCTGGCAGGCTGGGCAAGCTCAGGTGGCCTGCTGGCAGCCTTCAGGGGACGTGACACCCTGTCCTTGGAGCTGACAGCCAGGCTTGGCCAAGGTCACCAGCAGCACAGCTAGGGAACACCCATGACCCACTTCATGGCAACCTTCTGTGACTCCTGGCCAAGAGCCCATGGGAGGGTGGAGCAGAGGAGGGGGTGCTGGTTCAGCCAGGGTGGCCTCAGTGATCCCTCTGGTCCCGTGGCCCTTCTGCTTTGGGCTGCTCTCAAAGTTACCCAGATCAGGTGGTTCTAGGTAAATATGAGCCTGGTTTCACTTGTAACAGCCACAAATTCTAAACAGATGAACTATTTTAACATTCATTTAATCTTCCCCCTCCTATTTTTGCCTTTCTTTTACTTCTTTCAGTTTAATGTTTTCTTTAAAAAACATTAAGAAAACATACAAAGCAAAGCCACACATTATTCTTATACTTCAATCCTAGAGGTAACACTACAATGTACTGTGTATTGTTCCTGTTTGGTTTTTTTAAAAAACATCATCTATACAATTGTAACTGTACATGTACATGCTTTAAAAAAACAAAAATGGTCTCAGGTTACATACATGATGATCTGCAACTTTGTTTTTCTTCATTTAAGAATAGATCAAGATTATCCAGCAATGTCTTTACCTATAAATCTATCTCACTATTATTTCAGTTTAAACAATTTCTCAAGTACAGCTGAATAAGAGCCGATGTCTCTTTTGACCTGATGTAGAGAAGGCCAGGGTATTCCATCTGCCTCGCAGTGAACAGTTGCCCAGGTAAACGACTCCTTGTACAGCATAGCTTGTGCCAGAGCACATGGCACCCCTGCGGAACCTGAGTGAGACTATCACATTTTGGATCTTCTGAAAAATATTAATGCCTAGGCACCATCTCTATCGATTTAGCAAAATTTAGAGGAGGTCTTAGCCTCTACATGAAAACACTACACAGAAGATCCTGGTGCAGTTGGAGTGTAGAGTCACCCTCCTGAGATATGAAAATGCCTAATCCCACTGCATATTCAGCTTGGAAAACTCCAACCAAGCCTCTGGTGCTCATAGCCAGTAGGGCCTTCTGGCTGCACTGACCTTGAGGCCTGAGTTCTTGCGCATCCGGAGCCGGCCCATCCACATGTCTGTGAGCAACATCTGGCTGCACGTGTGCGCGATGAAGTCGCGGTGCTTGGCAGCCACCGCGAGCTGCAGGCATGTGGCGTTGCTCCAGTTCTTTAGCTCATATGTCAGCAGCTTCATGGCCAGTTGCTCATCCTGCTTGTAGGACTGGTCTAGGAGCTCCACGGCCAGCTGGCCAAAGTCCCTGAAAAAGAGAATGTGAAGGGCCATCTTTTAGCCATCTTGGAGTCTTAGATGATGAAAGTGGAGACCCACTGGCCAAGCCAAAAAAGGTGGGTTCTGAATGGCCTATGGTTCATTCATTCATCCAACCAACATCCATTAAACAGCTCTACGTGCCAGACACCGTGTTTAGGACTAAGGGCGTAAGTCAAACAAGGCATGACCCCTGCACTCCAGGCCCTCAATTCAAGGTGTATGGATGAGGATGGCAGACCAATAAATCAATGATCAGAGTGCAGTGTGTCTTCTTCAATGTGGCAGACCTCAGTTCAAATCTGAGCCTAGCCACAAAGTTGTCATCTTGGACAAGTTACTTAAATTCTACATCTCATTTCCTTTAGCTGTAAAATATGCCTAACAAGAGGATCTGTCTCTTGGGGCAGGGTTCTAGGTGTTTTTGCTGTAAGCATTTTTGTTGCACAACTAATTGGCTGTAAGGCAATTTCACCATAAAAGATAAAATAACGGTGGACAGTTTGGTTTACGTTCGACAAACTGAATTTATTTAAGCTAGTTGTCAATTTGGTTTCATTTCTCCATGGAGGAGGTTCTCACAGTTACTTCCATTTTTACATTATATAAATCTTAGCCCTCATAATGGTCTATACAATGATGAGTAGATGTGGTGGTCTTAAAATAGTGGATGTTATATTTAAACTTCAAGTGTATAACTTCAAGTGTATAGACTAAGTCTATTGTATAAAGTTAGGTCTATACAATGATGAGTAGATGTGGTGGTCTTAAAATAGTGGATGTTAAAAACTACGTTTAAAGCCAGATTGCACACTATACTAGAAAATGATAAACATATCAGTTTGTATATCATTCAGTGACCACAGTCATCCTCCCACCCAGCAGAACCAAATGTTCACCAAGCTATGGCAAATATGAAAGAAAAGTATATATAATACTATGAACAAAAGATTTCGAAGACAATGTATTTTCATTTTTTGCAACACAGTTTTTAAATTTTGTTAATAATTTTTCATGTTCCATGATGTCATTTTTCATTATTTTATCTCTTATGGCAAAATTGCTTTACAGCTGATTACCTGTGTGCTAAAAATCCTTGCAGCAAACATGCCTACAGTGAAAATACCAGACATGTGGGGGAGGTGGAGAGGATGAAATAAAATCTTCTATAATCTGTTTGTACCTCAATAGCTAGTGCTGTGCACCATAAACAGTGATTCTTTTTAAAAAAATATATTTTTATTGATTTCAGAGAGGAAGGGAGGGGGAGAGAGACATAGAAACATCAATCTTGAGAGAGACTCATTGATTGGCTGCCTCCTGCATGCCCCACACTGGGGATCGAGCCCAGAACTCCAGCATGTACCCCTACCAGGAATTGAACCCTGACTTCCTGGTTCATAGGTTGATGTTCAAATACTGAGCCATGCCAGCCGGGCAACAGTAATTCTTCATGTACACCCTCTCTGTGCACCATTGGGGTGATACTGCCTTGCCTTCAAGTTTTGGGAAGTTCAGACCTTCCATCCATTGTTTGGGGCCCACCTTCCCTTTTTGTCCCCTGATCACCCCATTTTCTGGGCTGGCCGACCTGGAGTTGTGGTTCAGCTCCTGGGAGATGTCATCGACCATGTCGTTCTCGGAAGCCTCATGAGCCATGGCCTTGCAGAGCTTGCAGGCCACCAGGGCCTTGGCCATGGCCTCCTCGCCGTGCTGCCAGAAGAACAAGGCCATTTTCTGCCGCTTCATCAGGACGGCCCACACCATCAGCTCGTGGAAAGGGAAAGGAAAGTGGTTGATCTCAGGGTCGTCCAAGTCAATGTCTACCTCTTCTTCACGTTTCTTGGTTGTCTTTCTTCCTCTCCTCAAAGGAACGTCATCCTGTAATTTTAGGGTGAAAAAAAAATAGAGGTAGAGTTAGAGATAAACCAATGAAATTCAGGCAACAGTTATTGTATATTTACTACTGGTCCAGGTTTGACAGATGCATAAATGAACTACTGGCACACCTCATTTGATTGTGTTTCACTTTATTGCTCTTCCCAGATGTTGCATTTTCTACACATTGAAGGCAAAAGATCACGACTTGCTTTATTGCGGTGGTCTGGAACCGAACCTGCAATATCTCTGAGGTATGCCTGTATCCTCTCCTAGCTCCAATCCTAAAAGAACGCTCAAGCTCATATATGTCTAATTTTAAAATGAGCTAGAAGAGCATGAGCACAGTCCTATGGGAACATTCATTGTTATACTTTAAATTAGAAAAAGTATGTTCAATGGGCCATTTTCTTTTTCTTTTCACTTTTGTCCTTTTCCCCCTCTGCAGGCAGGGTTATTTGTCATGCATGATGGACAGCACTACCCTTTTCTCTCAAAGGACAAGGACTTGCATTTGCATACAGCAATAACCACATTAACAAAAGACGGGAGGAAGGTAACCTCTCCAGTTTCTGCATACCTCATTAGGTGCATTTGTGAAGTCTTTTTGGCCTTTGGATTTGTTGGCCATTTGTAAACACCCATGAATAGATTTTGCTTACTGGAATATATATGCTCCCTTGGTTTTCAAGTTAGTATTTCAAATAGGACTTATTTCCTTGTTTGCAATGCTAATTAATATAACCTCCATGGTGAGATTTTCAAAGCTACTGTGACCTGTCCCCTCACCACTGGGAAAAATGTCACTTCCTCATTGCAGAATTACGTACTAATCCTTACCACTGAACTGAACTTATGTATATATTTCAAATGTGTAACAAAGAGATTAAATAATTGACACTAATAATTTGAGCAAACACTTACCTCCATTCCCAATAGTTTCAAGGCTTTGGGCTGTTAAAAAATTAATGCACAATGTTAGATATTTCTTTACAGATGTAAGAAAAGAATCCTACTTTATCTCAAACAGGTAATGAAACAATTCCATTTACCATATAGCATCTATCTATTTCAATAAATAAAACATTACAAAGGGAACCTATTTATAGAAATTCTTAGAGAATTAGGGATTTAATGAGTTTGGGTGAATCACAGAAAATTAGGAAACTGACAGGCATAACGTGATTGCCTTTTGTGGACCAAAATTTCTTCCATCTTCCTAAAACTGTCCTGCTCGTCATCTCCATGACTTCAAGCACTTATGTGTATGATGAAACATTCAATCAAAGCAGGTGTTTCTCAAACCACTGAATGACCTCTATTCCTGGAAGACTTGAGATATTATTCATAAATATATGTGTAGATGCTTCATGCTGGCCATCTCTCTATGCTGCTGTCCGGTAGATCAAGGGTGAGTGGGGCCAGAGGGGCATGTGTCGATGGCACTTAATGGCATGGAAAGTATCAGCACAAACAGAAGCATCATTGCTCATGCTGGGAATGTGCAGAACAGGCACAGACCGAGACGGACAGAGAAGGCAACTCGGCAAAGTATAGAACTTGATTTATATTTAACAAGGGGAGATACAAAATTACATTTCAGGGGTCAGGAATTCCAATTCCACGTTGCAAGTATCACGGAAGGGTCGGGTACCAACTTGAAAGTTCTTTAAGTAAAGAGTAAGGTTATAGCACTTATGGTTCCTCCAAATTTTATTTGACCATTCAAGTCGGAATAGCTTGAACCTTGTCTCTCCCCCTTTCTTTCTTTTAGCTTTTATAATGGCCACCAGTTTAAAATTTATGATTTTTAAAAATTAATACTTTTTGGTGTTTTCAAAGGTCTCTTCCAGCATCACAAAATACTAGAATAATCAGAAGATAAGGTTTGGTAAAAATAAAAAATTATGCCTGCCACCAGCTATAGCAGCAGTTCTCAAAATGTTGTCCTAGGACCATGTGACCCTTTTGGGGGTGGAGGTCTTTCCTGAGACCCTTCCAGGGGCCTGTGAAGTCAAAGCTATTTTCATAATAACACTAAGATGTGTTAATATTTGCACTGATGATACAAAAGCAACGGTCGGTAAAATTGCTGGGTACCTTGGCAAGAATGAAGGCAGTGGTACCAGGCTTTACTAGTTGTCATTAGAGTTCACTGTTATACATTTGAAGATTTAACCAAAACAAAACAAAACAGTTGCACTTAATAATGTGCTTGATGAGTCCTGGCTGGTGTGGCTCATTGGACAGAGATGAGGCCTGTGCACTGAAGGGTCGCCAGTTTGATTTTTCAGTGGGTTACAGTGAGTGTTTGGGAGGCAACCAATTGATGTGTCTCTCTCACATTGATGTTTCTCTCTCTCTCTTTCTCCCTCCCTTCCACTTTCTCTAAAAATCAATGGAACAAAACAACAACAAAAGAATGTGCTTGATGAGGCCTAAAACATTATTACGTGTATTCAATTTCTACTCTTGCTGGTAAAAAATGTCTTTTTACTATTCTGAGGGGTGAAATGGGAAGTCGCATAAAGCACTGCTGCTACATACTGAACTAGGATGGGTGTCCTGAGGGAGAACACTCATGGGGTTGTTTGGGCTGAATTATGGCCACTTTGTGTCATGAACTATCTGTGTGAAGAAATGACTGGTAGACAATTAGGGTTTCTTAGACCTGGATGGCAGACGTTTTGGAAATGAACGAAGTAGGACTGTCATTTCAAGGAAGACAACTCTCAATATTGGTTGTCAGTGACAAAATTCAAACTTTCAAGCAGATAATAGAATCTTGGAAAACCCACCCCTTGACCTTGACAGTTTTTCAGTAAAGGAATGCAAGTTTTTGCAATTGTATAATAAACTGTGTCAACAGTTAGAAGATCAGAATATAACTCAACAAACCAATATTTTACAATGACCAATCTATGATGTTAAAAGATCCATACAAACTGCAGTTTGGATTTTAATAGGAAAAGTTCACTGACATGGTTTCAGATTTCATGTTGCAAACGAATCTTCAAGAAATTGCCACTTGAATTTTGATGAAATATCAAAAAAGAATAGCTATAATTATCACTAAAGATTACTTCTTCCTTTGTTTGAAACATTTGTCATATTTGTCACATATTTGTGTGAGGGCAGATTTTCTTCATATATTTTAACCAAAACAATGTCTTGTAACAGACGACTACAGAAGTAGATATGAGAATCTAACTACCTTCTGTTAAGTCAAACATTACAGAATTTTGCAAAAAATGTAAAACTATGCTACTCATCACTGATTTTTGTTTTGAAAACATAGTTGTTTTTCATAAACATGCTCTCTATGTTAATATGTAATGAATGGACTTATGGTCATCTTAAGATGAATTAATAAATAATTATTTTTTAATGTTTCAACTTTAATTTCCAGCATGATAAATATTGATAGAACCCAACATAGATAAAAAAGCTTTTGGGAGTCCTCAGTAGTTTTTAAGGGTATAAAAAGATCCCTTTAGACCAAAAACCTTGAAAATTGCTGCAGTAGATAATAAGATTCATTTGAATTTCATTGCTGTTCTCTGATCATTAAGGCTCACTCTCAGTGTGTTTCTGATTTGAATTGGACCTAGGGAAAGAATACCCCCTCCATCCCCCCGCCCACCCCTGCCTTTATAAAAACAGATTTGATGGTGGAGGGAAGAAGAGGTGGGGCAATTGCCTTCTCATCTCATTACCCACTAAGAGAGAAGGAAGCCACACCCTGAATCGGTAGCACCCTAGTCCACCCAGGAGTCCAGGAACCCGAATTTGCCTGCAAGCCTCACCCTCTTGGGGCCGAAGAGATTGTGGTAGAGCGTCCGGAAGCGCTTGCGCGTGTAGTTGCAGCGATAAGCTCCGCCCATCAGGTATTCTATCACCAGGCCGATGTCGATCAGGCTGATTCTGTAGTCAGGCGGCAGGTTCCCCTGTTAGGGAAGAATGAAAAACAAACAGAGCCAAAGGACAGCGTGATTTACCAGGGATTCGATCCCATGTGTTCTGTAACTATTTTAGAGTAAAAAAAAATTAATTAAAAAAGAAACATATGAATGAATTATTATGCTGGTTAATTAATTCACCTTAAAATAGATCCAACCGAAACCTGGATATTCTCGCTTGGAAAGAAGACATACGTTAAATAAGAAGATGCAGTAATCGTCGGCAATAACAGAAAATCAAAATATTTATTCGAGTCTTCAGCTGAGGAGAAAAACACACCAGCGTAGCAGAAAGAAACACAAGGCTAGACATGGCAAATGCTATGGCTCCCAGACACTAGGAACTACGTTCCCCAGCTGTCCCCAGGCCCCTGGCTGCTCTGCCTCAGACCTAGGCCTGTTACCACCCTTTGCTGATCATCTATTTCTTCACACTCACTAAATGAAGACTCCTTCCAGAGGGGATTGGTATTGCCAGGGCTTGCATCAGGTGGGGCATGCTTAGAGCTCAGATAGCCTTTAATACCAAACTTCTGTTTAACAATGAACACTTGGCTTCTTTCCATACAAGGAGATCAGGATGGCTGTCAGATGAAGTCATTTATGAATGTCCCTTGTGTTGAAAGAGAAAGCAGGGAGAAAGAGCCTTATAATATTCATTGTTTTATTTATCGTTGTATTCCTAGTGCCTTTTATAGTGCCGGATGTGTGGTTGGCATTCGAAATGCTTTTTATTGAAAATATGAATGAGTAAAATAGTGAAATTAACTGATGTGGTGGGATCAATCTCTCTGGGTGTGTGTGTGTGTGTGTGTGTGTGTGTGTGTGTGTGTGTGTGTGTTTTGCATTATGTTCTCAGTAAGAGAACTAACTAGCCACAGTGTGTGAGTCACCCCTGTTTGGGAAAGTCTCGGTTTACTGCAGAAATCTGTCTTGAAATATGCATATTGGTGTGTCTGTATGGGCAGGAATGAATGGATAGCAATTGATGCACCAGCCCAAGTGTGTGAATCCAAGTGCTGCTCTTTCAACCTCCTTGCTGCTTGTGGCCTTAGTTCTCAGCCCTGCCCACTGTATTCTACCTCTCCCTGAGCTGGGGATACAAGGCAGGCTCGGGGACCTAATCTGAAATGGCTGAGCGAAGTGGGACTGTGTGAAGGGCATTTGAGATGAGATGGCAGCACTTTAAGGCACACAGCCCCTCCCATCCCTGACCTGGGCTCATCAGGATCCATGTCTTTTGCTGAATTGTCCCTTCACAGAAATGGTCTCTCACTCCTCCCCCACTTTCTCAGAATTTCGGGATCTCTTTTGTGTGAAGATTATCTCATCAATCTAAATTGTCAAATTAAGCTATCCTCTGGCTGCTAAGAAAGACCAATTGTCTGGCTTCCTTATGCAAAGCATGGTGAAAATATAACAAAGGGAACATAGACAAGGTTTTATTTGAAGATCATAACTTCTCAGGTATTGCCCTTTCCATAAACATTAAGCTGATTTAAAATATATTACCCATGCAACGATTTTTCTCCGTTATTTTGGGATAGGTTAACAAGGCTGCAGTTTCTGTAAGGCCTGGCTCTACCAGATTGTTAAGCACCTCTGTTATTTCAAAGGTAGAAGAGCCCCAGAGCCTGGCCACACCCAAGTCAGCCTCCTCTCCATGCCTTTGGCTCCATGAAGGGTGCCCTCCAGAGGAAGCCCACCCTGTCTGTTATTTGCTTGGCACTGTGAGGTAGGCAGGGTAAGGGACACTGGCTGGGACTCAACTGCCCTGGGCTTCTGTCTATAGGACAAACCAGCCACTTGCCCTCAACGCCCCAGTTTTCTCACTGAAAAGAGTTGAACTTCCTGGCCTCTACGGTCTGTAATGTACCAGGTTTTGAAAAAATCCCCAGAGGATCTATTATGATGCTATTGAAAGGCAGCTATAGCAAGTCTAGGAACTTGTGCTTATTTTCAACCTTGTAACAATTTTCTAAATTTAAAACGTGGGTAATATCGAGTCTAACACCTATATATTTTCATTTGAGAAATCCATATGGAAGCATTAGTTTGAATTCTAAGAACAAGAATCGATATTGTCTGACGACCAATATTGAATGGCAATATTTACACATTGTATGCGGGAAACGTATTTATACGTTTTACAAGAATCGATATTGTCTGAAGACCAATATTGAATGGCAATATTTATACATGTGATGTGTCTGTAAGAGTGGGAGTTGTCAGGAAGAATAGTTATAGTAGTAAAATTCTAAATAAATAAAATTTAAGAGGGGCAAAAAAACATTTTTTTTTTTTGTAAATGACTTCATTCATAAAGGGCTTATAGGTTTATAGACTACCAAAGAAGGTGCCATAATCTTCTTTTCTTTAGAAACTTCTCATATAAAGCTTGATTATTTTAGAGTGATGGATGGTCTGGTCTGAAGCAGGGGAAAGGATTCAGAGTATCCTAGGTTCTCCCCAGCTTTTAGTGAAGGCCAGAAAGAAAACGGGCCTGCTTTCTGTTTGACCACAAGGCGGCGATGTTCACCTCACCCAAACCAATGCGGGCTCCTTCCTCCTCAGCATTTGCCTGCCCGCTCTGTTTTGTGTAATAACTGATGTAAATGAACACAGAGCAGATTGGAGGATTTGGGGATGAGGAGAGAGTCAGATGCTTTTGTTGAAGTGATATCTGGAGGAGGGAAAGCTTACTTTACCAAGCAATGCGTTTGAACTCAGTCTACAAGACTGCAGCTGTTTCTTTCCAGAGGCTTAAGGAAGCAGAGAAATTAAGGGAAATTACTTTCACAATTTTTACTGGGAAGAGAGGAAACCTTTTGGGGAAGAAGAAATAGATTTAATAAAATGAGTAAAACTGCCATAACTGTGTCCTCCTGGGTGAACGCTGAAGGGGATGGCAGCATTGGTGCCTGTCTGGGCTGATGGCCTTGGGTACCTGTGACTGCAGGGGTAACATGTGCAGAGAACAGCAGCAAGATGACCCCACCGTGGAAATAGCACTGGGCTGGACTGTGGGCGTGGCTAGATCACACCCTTTCTCTGTATCTCAGTTTACACGTTGAAACCATGCAGTTTGGACCCAGTTACTTTTAAAGTCTTGTCTGTTTCTCAAGGTCTGACTACCAGCTGGCAGGCTGCTCTTACTTCTATGCTGCCAGGTCACTGGACAAAGACTCTTATCCCAGCTTCCAGGTTGATGTAGTTTCCACGAATCCCCTGAGGTTTGGTTAGTGGAGCTGGGGGCTTAGAGACAAGGGGTGGTAAAGGGGCAGACAGGGGTGGGGTTGTGCTCTTCATATCCACCTCCTCTGGACAAAAGCAGAGAAAGTGCACGGCACCTCACATGCCACAGGTAATGTCCAAAAACCTTCTGGAGGAGTCTTCCTTTGCTGGGGTCCTTTTCAGGTAGGAGGTCAACAACGACACTGGTGTGACACTCCTCCTTCTGCCTGCTGTTTCTGGTATTTACCCTCCCCTTTTTGGCAATGACTTTGGTAACTGGTAAAGCCTGAACACTTACCCCCATTTCATGGGAAGCCACGTGATTTAAGTAACCTGACCCATAGAATGAAACAGAGAAGCTTGGGTCTGCGGATAGGTACAACGCGATAACTTGAAAACGTCCTCTCCCTTTTTCGTGCTATGAGCTACTACTACTCAGGAGCTGAGTTTTAACCCATGCCATCCTGAAGGACAGCTGTTAATTCAAAGAATAGTTTACATTCACATAGATCTGCTCTCCTAAATGCACTCTAGTTTTCAGATGTCAGCTTATGACATCACAACACATTTCTACTGTTTAGGAAACACCTTTTTTGCTTTTCTTGAAACTTGGACTGTTTCCTTCTGATGCATGGAAGGTGTTAATGATAGCTGGTTGTCAGGTTTACCAAGGGAGAATGGGGAAAAGACTATTCCGGTGAAAGTGTATGGAAAAAGAGGGCATTCCCCCAATGTTTGGCATGGTAATAGACTGGGCAACTAATCTCATAAAAAGTAAGAATGCTTTTGTAAATTTGTGTGAATTTAGATGGGATTATAAAAAGTCCTTTCTTTACCCAAATTGTGTCTGAAAAACTTTTTTTTCTTAATTCTGTAAAGTTCTGAGTCTTGATTCCCATGTGAATTAATTTAACTATACTAATTTCACACTACTTCTATATAAACAAATATCATACTCTTTTGGTGGGGAGGGATAGTAGAGGTATTCTGAAGTATTAGCACATTTAATTAAGAAAGAAAAACTACTACTTTAAAACATAGAGGCACAAAATGAGCAGGCAAATAGCTACTAAAATGACAAGTTAGAATTCACGAAAAAGCAGACAGACTGGGCCACTCTGGTTTAATAAGAGAGCATTGGTGCATCCAATGGATTTATGCATGAAAACAGTCCAGGGAACTGGGTTGACTTAAATAATTTTAAATTTCTGATAGATGCTGAATAGCAACTCTTCATCTCATTGCTCCTAGATTGTTCCCTTGGTATAAATAATTTGAAATTTGAAACTAGCATGGGAGCAATTCTCCACATTCAGTTCTGTTGATTTCAAAGGTTAGTTGGACTTGCAGGTGTCATGCTGGTTAACTTATGATGGTCTGATAATTCCTAAATGCATTCCCCGGGTTTGTCAGAGTTACTTACATTTAGTTTACAGACATGTTATCAAACACGATGTTTAAGGTCCAGAGCGGTGTTCATACTTATGAACAGCATTTTGTATCAGGGTTTATCACTTACTAATTTTTTTAACCACAGATTAAATCAATTAATATATACACAAAGTCCTATAATCATAAAGCACAAAGTACATACTAATTATTATGGTCTTTAATTTTGACAATTGCTTAAACTGTCCAAGATTTCTTAGCATTTTAAACCTTGTTTTTTGAGAATCTTACTGGCCTAAACTGCTAGAAGTCTTCTGGAACCATCTGAG